GAGGACAGAATAGAATTTAAAATATGATTCTAGCCCTGGGTCGTAAACTTTTAAATGATGGCAGCTCTTTTATTGCAATCTTTCCCATCACCTGCTATTTGTTTGTTTGTTTATCACATTTGTGTACCACCCATCAAGTGGGAAAAACCACTGCTCTGGACACTTCACAACCAAATAAAAGAACATTCTACTTTTGCTATTGCAAAAAACATTAAATTAAAAAGACAATGCTTGAGCCACTGCTGAGCGGAACTTCAGCAGTGCAGCTTGTCTTTGCCTCTGTCCCTGGATAGCGTGAGACTTCTGGTATCACGAGATTAGCATAGGAGGAGAGGAGGGAACATTAGATTGTTTAAGAGCCGTTCCCCCCTCTCCTCTTCCTCTTCCTTTGCTGGCACCCATGCACTTGTCCTTTATTCTAGAGTTTATCTGGTCGCCTATGGGGCCGGACAGGAATTTTTGACCCGTATCCTGATTGGCATTTGGGTGGGTCTTTCCACACTGGAATAGGTGTACTGGCATGTTTAAAGGTGAAAATTGGTCACACTGGTGAGTAGTGCGGATAGAAAAGGTTTTGTTGGTGAATCCCATTGGAAAACTCAGGTAAGCTATAGCCCATCTGACCTCCCAGTGCTGCTGGTTGTGCAATTGCGGTGCTTGGTGGAAAAATATGCACTGGGGCCACACCTGGACCAACAGTCAACAACAAGGAGAAGCCCATTCATTGCTTAAGGGGTCCTTTAAGACCTCTGTGCTTAAGCCTGGTTCTGCAGCACGGCAGGACCCTCCCCCCTTTGCCAAAGGATGGCAACATTGATTATGTTTAATAAAGTGTGACCCATGATTAATCCATAATTCTTGTCTCGTGTCTTCATTCCAGGGTTGGGAGGGCAAAGCCCCAATGGTGACAGCTAAACATTACAAATTTAAACACTATGGGTCCAAGGATCTACTGCAGGGGGGAAAATATTCTTGAAGACTTCTTTAAAGAACTCAGTTTTAACATGCTTCTAAAAGTTAAAATGGAGGGGGCTTGGCATACCCCCACAGGCTGAGCATTCTAGAGTGATGAACCTACATGTGTTTTAACATATGCAACCTGTCTGTGAGTAGCATAAACTAAACTTTGGTCTTGATCATACAAAAGGCAGATTATGGATTCTTTTTATTCCAGCTACATAGTATTAGTCTGAACCAATCATGCAAGGAAACTGTTGTGTTTGAATAACTTCCGAATAACTCCACTAGTTTCACCAAAATCCTTATACAGTATCTAGTGGCAAGCACCTTAGAGACCTCGATAGCCATTTGTTGAAGGTATTCAAAGTTTTGATTTCTTGTCCTGAGAAGCAGGTTGGGCTAAAATTCTCCTTTTAATTCTCCAAGGCTGTGATTTTTCCAGTTCTTAAGCAATTCCTCTTTTTTTTACCTTTAACTGCCTGTCAAAAACAGGCAAAAGCTATAAAAATGGTCAAGAATCATCACCTTTGCACCAAAAATGTCTGTGAACCATCACAATTTTTTCTGTCTCCTTTGTATGACCTTCTGTGACAGGAGATTTGTAAAAGGAACATGAAAAGATTAATAATTAATACATTTACTGATGTCTGAAGCAGTGACATAAGCCTGGCTTTAGCCGTATATTTTATTAATGAGCATTGAAAACAATTGCTCTCCTAGTGCAGCTCTCTTAGATGGAGGTACAGAAAGAAGGATAAGGAAAGAGAAAAACATGCCACTTCCTTCATCCTGCTTTTGAAAAATTGCTTCACTCAACTATCTGTCAAAAGTGCGAGAAGAAAAAGTCAAAGGTTGTGATCCAGAGTTCCACACATTGTCTGTGTTCCTATGGAGATGTAACTCTAGGAGAACACAAACTGTAGAAATGTGTCCCACCTCCCCTTAGAGGTACACCTAAAAGGGCTTGCTTTCTTTGAAGTGCCCTTAGGACAGCAGCCTATGTGGTCAGCCTCACATTGCTGCTGATGGTTTGGAATTATTGCCTAGAGGCAAAACATTATTCCCATGCACACAAGCTCCTTCCAGTAATGGAGTGAAGGACTGCCATCCACACTCTGGGATTAGACGACTATTGACATTAATCTGTAACAGCTTAATGTCCCCTTACAAAAAGGAGAATCTGCAATGAGTGAAATCTTTAACCTGTCTCTTGTATCAGTGAGTTTTTCCTCTTACTGTACACTGTAGATTGTTCTGGGATATGTTGTCAATATGTTTTCCATCCATCCCTCCATCCCTCCATCCCTTCATCCCTTCCAGTCTCCCGCCATCCATCCATCTAACCATCTTATTCAGCTCTTCCTCCAAATCATTATCTTCTTTTAATCTCATGACTTTAATAAAAATGTACACCCCTCACTCAACTGACACTAACCAGAGATAATTTCAAGTAATTTCTCCCTTTCCTCCAAATCATCATCTCTTTCCAGCACTGGCACGGCCTTTTCAATAAAAGTTCTTAGTCCTGTTTAGACATTCTCTAACTGACTTTGCTTATTTTTGGTAGCTTGAAGGGCCATTCCCCCTTCCTTTTCTAGTTTTCCTCTAAACTGAGTTGATTATCATTTCTCCAGTTTCTTGCAAAAATTAACCTTGCTGCTGTAATCATTATCACTATTAAGTCCTTATTTTCTTTCAGCAATTGATCCTTCTTAACCAAATTCAATAAAGCAATTAATGGGGACATTTGAATATTTAATCCAGTTATTCCACTTATTTCTTTAAAGATTTGGTTCCATTCTTGCTTTCTTATTTCACATGGCCACCACATATGTATATACGTCCCCTTCTCTTTTTTTACACCTCCAACATAGTGATGTTACATTTTTATTTATTATATTTAATTTTACCGGCGTTAAGTACTATCTCCATATTACCTTATAGTTAAGTACTATCTCCGTATTACCTTACAACAATTTTCTTTTATCCTTACAGACATGTTCTTCATAATTCCTTGATCCCATATTTTATCCCATTCTTCACCTATTACTTCTTTATCCAGATCATCTTGCCATTGCATTTTTAAAACTTGTGTTCCCTGTTCAGCTTGCACTAATTCAAATTACACTCGACTTACAGTTCCCTTTCTTGCTGTCTTTTCCTGAAGCAGTGACATAAGCCTGGCTTTAGCCGTCATTCCCCCTTCCTTTTCTAGTTCTGTGACCCTCCTAAACAGGAAGGGGGATGAGTCTGACGAAGGAGAGCACTGTCATTTGTGAAGCAGTGGCATAAGCCTGGCTTTAGCTGCCATTCCCCCTTCCTTTTCTAGTTTTGTGACCCTCCTAAACAGGAAGGGGGATGCGTCTGACGAAGGAGAGCACTGTCATTTGTGCAGGAATTATTTATGTGAGCCAGGGCCCTAAATTTCCATAGACAGTAAAGGATCACTCACACAGCTCCCTGTTGCCCACCATGTATAGGAGATGGAAGAAAAAACTAAAAATAGAGGACAGAGGGTAGAAAAGCCCCCATCCCACCCTAAAGGACTGTATGTCTCCATATGAGCTTCCTCTGTTCCTCAGATCTTCAAAGGAGGTCCTTCTCTTGGCCCCCTTGTCTTTAAAGGAATTATTCACAGGGACGCAGGAGAGGGCTTCCTCTGTGCCTGCTTTTTAGGCAGGTTTAGGACAAGATTGAGTTTCTTCTGGTTGCTGTACCTATGTTCCTCTTAAATGAGTTTTTAAATGTTTTTAAACTTTTAAATGTTCAAGACCATTTTAAATTCCCATGATACATTTAATTGCTTTTCATTACTCTAACTCAGTCTAATCTGTTTTTATTATTTGTGAGCTACCAAAAGAAAGTCAGCATAGAAAACATCATTATCATGAGGTATCACTGTTCTAAGAATACTTGAATAAATTTCTTCAAGAAGGCATCTTTGGTTCATATTTCTCTCCATCCTGTTTTACTACCTTAAGAATTGGCAACAGTCATCTAAACTGGATTAGAAGGCATCATTTGAAGGTGATAAAAGCCCTTAGCTGAAATATCATGTTGAAACATTATGGGCGAAGGCCTAATCCCAACTTGAGTAGAGCGACTGAACCAACAGGAACTCCATACAGGCTCTTTCCCCATTTAGTTAGAGATTCAAAGGATCTACTCTAGTGGAGGCCAGCATTTAGACTGAATCTTCCTAGCCACCTGCATTTTCAGGAATACAGAAACAAAGCGATACTGGGTGCCAATGAAAAGGTGGGCAGATGTCTGCAAAGACTTAACCACTGCAGAAATACATGGGAAGCTGAAGAGAAGCAAAAAGCCTAGGGTTGGAAGGCTTTGTAGCTGGATGTTCCCATTCTCTGTAGTAAGAAATAATGTAGCCCCACAAATTTCTCTTAATTTTTTCTACGTATTTGTGGGGAAAATTGACATTTTGTCACTGATTCCAGTAGACCCACACATATGCATAGGCATACACATACACACAGGTGCATTTCAGGTGCATCAGTAATGCCATACCAATTACAAAATAAGTTGAGAAAATGTGTGTGTATGTGGTGTGTATTTGTGTGTATGTGCCTGTTAATACAACCAAATGTCAGTAAGGTAATTACTGTGTGTGACATTTATGTGACTCCGCTGGACATCATTATTCTTTTGTGATTTTTTCCCAACCTCTACCATGGTAAGAAATGGATATCTTACAACTAGCAATTTGACTATGAAAAAGTTCCTCTAGAAGAGGTAAAAAGGTAGCAACACCTCTATTAAGCAAAAAGTAATCATGTTCATCTTTCTTGACCTTTCAGTCATCTGTAGGTAATTATTGTGGACAAGGATGTGAATATCTGTTTCATTATTGTTATTTACAGGAAGAGGAAAAGATATTGAACTGAACATGAAAAGGTAAGATGGCCAGATTTGACCACTGGATAATTTCATTACTATTCTAATGGCCTAATTAATTGCTTTCGGCACACAAAATAATTACCAAAAGACAATATGAAAATAAAATATGTTATTCCAGAACTTACATGCAAACTGAAGTCTTGCTTTCCTGCTCAGAATTGTTCCAAACGAATTTGTGACCAAACACTGGTATGTTCCGATATCCTGTTTTTTATGGGGGTTATTGATTGCCAAGCTGCCTCCAACCAGCCTGTAGTGATAACTCATCGTAAGATCAATATCTGTGCCATTGTGTTTCCACCTTTGAGGGGGAAAAATCAAATTACACTTATAATTTACAGAGGCTGTTCAGATTTCATTTCTAAATAGCGTGCTGCAGCATACCTACAACAATAAAAGCATGGTGAAAATATTAGAATATCAGACCATATTTCACAGCAGACTGATTTTTATATCCATCTTGTAAATTCAATGGTAAATTTTATTGTTTGAAAAACTCTTGTTTTAATGGTGCATCATAGGCAAACATCCAAAAGTCTAGAGAAAATAATTATAACTTATTCTTGCTAACCATACTATACATTCAAATAGCGATATAGAGGATGACATGACTATAAATGCATTCTTTCCTTGCACACTATAAATGGTACCTGGAAATATTTTACAGTCCTTGCATTTGATGTAATAAATTTGCTTATAGCAATGATTTCAGAGATATAAATCAGAACAAATTATACTTCAAAGGGCAAGTAGAAAGCAGATAAGGGATGTTTATACCACTAGTTTGAGATTGATAATGTAATAATGATAACACTGTTATTTTAAAACATGATTTGTCTCTGTTAGCCTGTTAGAGAGAAAATGAATCGTGTCTGCAACATATCACAGCTATTTACAAATGTCAAAATAAATTGTGTTTCATAGATAATCATATTTTCCACAAGAATAAAAAGAAGTTTTAGGATTAACTATTTGATGCATTAAAGCAGACTTTGTACATACCACAGGCTATTGAAGTTGTTGGTCACAATTTAGAAGTCCTCAATTAGGATTTTCAAATGGCCAGCAAGGCTAAAATGGGCAATTGCCAGGATGTGGGGAGGAAAATGGGCAGCAGTCAAGTGATGGAAAAGTTGTATTATGGCAGAAGATGTAATAGGTGATGTTGTTTAAAAAATTAGATGATGCTAATAACAGTGTGAAAAGAAAATTAAATAATTCAATCTCTCCCAGAACCCCAATCCTTGAAGAAATATAGTCATTTTTCCTTCACAGACAACCTACTATAGTGTATTATTATTTCGTATGGTGTATTCATTCACACCACAGAGATTTCCTGATAAGTAGTATGCAGTTACCAATCTTATATGGTTTTTTTTTCTCTTTTGTGTATTACCATCTTGGAAATCTGTTGCTTAGAACTAATTGTATAATTGCATTTTATATGTTATCTTAATGTGTTTTAACTGATGGAAGCCGCCCCGAGTAGATGTTGTCTAGAGGGGCGGGGTAAAAATCGAATGAATGAATGAATGAATAAATAAATAAATAAATAAATAAATAAATAAATAAATAAATAAATAAATAAATAAATAAATAAATAAATAAATAAATAAATAAATAAATAAATAAATAAATAAATAAATAAATAAATAAATAAATAAATAAATAAATAAATAAATAAATAAATAAATAAATAAATAAATAAATAAATAAATAAATAAATAAATAAATAAATAAATAAATAAATAAATAAATAAATAAATAAATAAATAAATAAATAAATAAATAAATAAATAAATAAATAAATAAATAAATAAATAAATAAATAAATAAATAAATAAATAAATAAATAAATAAATAATACAGGTAATGATGGCAGAAACATCCACTATGACATTCTTAACAGTGACCTTACTGAAGCAAAGCTATGAGGAACATTTGTGCACAGAAAAATTGAAAGTAAACTTCAAAGAGAGAGAAATCTATTTAGATTTAGTAATTGTGAGGGTTCAATGGTTACCCCAGGCTTATCGGATACAAACACCGGAGGCACATGATCTTGAAAAACAGAACAGGGGTTTATTGGAACGTCAAATAAAGAAGTATCAACATTAAACTTGTCGTTAGTCTTTTCTCTCGTCACCAACAGGTCAAATGATGGTGTCCAAGCATTTTTCAAAAAGGGGCTGAAACTTGGGTCATACCAAGGTCCTTTGGAAAACAGGTTAGCTTCACCCAATTCTTTAGCTTCCATGTCCACCTCAATTAGGGGTAAGGTCTCCTCATCTCCCCTCTCCAGGTCATAGGGGTCGGCTCCCTTGGCATAGGGGTCCCAGGGTCCAGTAAATACCTCCTCTGGCAAGCCTCCTCCAGACGCCATGCTCTCCTCTCCCTCTCTTCTCTCTCTACCGCCTTCTTTTCTTCTCTCAAACGCCTCCTCCACTCTCTCACTTCTCCCCAATAAGATGGTTTGGGGGGCAAACCTCTTCTTCGTCTGTAGTCTGCCTCTTCCCAAGGCACCCTGACCTTTTCACATCTCCCTGTCCAGGGATCCTCTACCCAGATTAACTCCCAACCCCTGGGTATATTGTCTCGTTCCCCCTTTATATCCCCATGCCCCGCCTCTACCAATGGCCGCTCTCCCACCCGTGTTAACGCTTTTCCTGCCCATCTGGGTGGCCACTGATAGTTTCCTCACACCCTGTTCCAAATCACAGGTGTCTACCCCCGATGTCTGATCGCGACACGAGTAGTCGTAGAAGCCGTTTGAGTTTCCTTCTCTCTCTTAAATGAGGGCGACACTCCAGCGAGTGCTTCTATAGCCTCGCCTCGGGTCTCACAGTAATTTAATAAAAGTCAAATATGTATTGACCTCAGGAATCACGGGTTTTCAACTCCGGTCACCTTCCTCTCCTAGATGGACACAGTGCTCCTTATCAGCAATGCAAAGAGTAGAAAATAACCTGTTGCCTCGAGGCAATAGCCCTATCCAGTCATTCTCTGATCAGGAAGCATCTACATCTATGGATGGGCAGAGGGTTGCCTGTTCCCTTCCCACCTGAGCAGCAAAGAGTATAAAAAAGAAGACAATTCATTGTGGATGGGGTGTAAGCTCCACATGTGAGCAAGAACTCTGAAAAATCTGGATCGTTGCTCATGACACATTCGATACTTGCTTTAGCATTATGGTGAGGGCAGGGCCAGGGCCAGAATTTCATCAACCATGATGATGATGACGACTGATTAAGGCTAATGTAGCTACACCATTCAGTTTGGTACTGCTTTAACTACTATGGCTCCATGCTCTGGAATCCAAGAATTTGTAGTTTAGGTGGAAATGCAGAATTTTCCTGAACTATGCCAGGGGATTCTCAAAACTACACATCCCAGAATTCCATGAAGTACAATTAAAGAGTCATATAATCCATCTGTAGTGTAGATAAACACCCTATTGTAATAGGATATATTCACAGATACATAACACAGAAGCTGCCATTGGCTCATCTAGATCAATATTGTTTGTTTTGAATTGAAAAACAAAGTTACAATACAAACATTATAATCAATAATAAAGATGGAATTAATCACTCTGTCTCTTCTTTTAGATAAGTATTAACACCTGGATAAGGGTTCTCCACTGTTCAAAGCTGGGTCCTCAATCATCCTTAATTATAGACGCCACAGTTTGGACCTTGGATCTTCTAAATATGCTCTACTGTTTTTATCTAGTGATGTCCTGAAACTATGAAATTTGCTGGAGTAAAAAGACGGAATAACAGCAGAACTCATTTATAATAACCACTCTCCTTTTAAAAAAAAAAAAGGAAAATCTTTTTTTGATCACCAGGGCATACCAAGTGTTTTTTCTCTGTAGCAAAATGAGTGCATTTTTGCTCAAGTTCCCAGGCCCAACTAAATGGTGCTCTGCTCTCATGTGGATGGTTTTGTTTTCTTTTCCACCTGAAATGTCATCCAATCAACAGTGCAAGCTGCTTAGGCCAGTGGTCAGGGAACAGGGGTAAATTACCCCAAATGGGGTAAAAATGAAAATCCTGGGGGTAATGAGGACGGTTGCGGCAGCATGACACTCCTCATTACCCTCAGGCATTTTATTTCCAACAATACTGTGTGTAGGCGGCCATTCTGTCACACGAGGAGGCCCCCTTCCCACCCTGCCTCACCTGAGCTCATGGCCAGTGGACCTGCCGGCCCTGTGGTGCCCGGCTCCCTTCACCAAGGACGCGCTTTCCCAGTGGCGTGGCAGCTCCAGACTGGCTACTTGGGTGGCAGCCGCAGGTCCTAGGTGAGCGCAGAGGCGTGGGGGGGGTCAGCTGCAGACGGCGAGAGCAGAGGGGCAGTGCTAGGAGGGGGCGGGGTAATGTTGGCGTATATACATTTTTTTTGGGGGGGGTAAAAGATAAAAAAGTTTCCTGACCCCTGGCTTAGGCCATGCTGGTAGAAACACCCAAAGCTGCTAGAGAAGTTCATGAAAAGCTCTTCTGTGCCTCTTTAAGACAAAAACAACTCCCTGCCTTAGGTTTAGATGTCTTTTCCACTCGCCTGTGCCTGTGGCCCAGACTCCTAGAATCAGAAAAAGATGAGTTAAATGAGGAGTGCAAGCAAGACTCTTTTCTACAAGCTGAAGGCACTCCTACTGCTCCCCCCCCCCTTTCTGGTCTTTCAGCTCTGTGGAGTATGGAAGAGAACTTCCATTAAGACTTCACTTTTTTGTTTTTTGGTGCTTCTGTGTTTTTCCTCTCTTTCTGATTCTTTCTTGTATTCCACTTTAACCTCCTCAGTCGAAGGAAAATTTTGTTGCCGTTGTGTGAAGTTCAACCATAGCTCTCCCCTGCATTAGTGTGACTAAATTTCTAGCACTGAAGATTTTTCTCCTGCTGTATCCAGGCTTCTAAATGTCATAAAAATGTGAGTCTGAGCAAGTTGGGAGGGATGTGGACACGGACCAATGGCACAAGTATTCTACAACAGCGAGTGGTGTTTTTTTTTTTTTCCAGAAACATATTATAATCTTATATTACTGACTAGTTCTAAAAATTTTCCTTACATAAGAGTGAATTATGTCCCCAAAGGAATTGGGAGGGGGTGCCTCTGGGGGTCTGGTGGGGAAAATATGTTGGAAATATTTTTCAACCTTGTAATTTGCATTTAAAAGGTTTGGCTGGGAGGAACCTTTTGGGCTGGCATGACTGTCATTCAATCCAGCAGTAACCAATTGTTCCCTCTCTGCCACTGATTTTGAAGACAGCCCTTTTCTGCTCTTTTCCACTTAGTATTAGG